TGCATTGCTTCCATTCACCAACTTACACATTTGTTATCTTAACTGATTTCTGGTGATTTCCTCAATAGGTGATTGTAACAGAGTCAAATACAATGTTTATTGAAAATGTTATTTTGATGTTGAAAAAAGTTTCAGAAAATAAAACTGAAGAAGCAGCTGAACATTTTGGTATGGTCAGCATAGAAGCTTTGATGTTAGCTTTGGTCAGGTGAGAATTGAAATTCCTGATATTATTAGCATATTAAGGGTATTTGTTACCTACAAACAGATACTCAGATTTCCATGATTTTTAATCTCCAAATGGACATTGTCCAAAAAACAGGGACTTATAATTACATCTCTGTGTGTCAATGCATCCGTGTGAGTGTATGATTTTATTCAAACTTCACTACACATCATATCATACATATGTACATGTATTGGTGTTATGATCTAATTCAAGATGGCTGAATGGCGACAATTTCCGGGACAGGATCTTAGTCATGCATAGATATATTTCATTCAAACTTGGTATGTCTATTGAATGTAATGTCCTTCATGTCGACTTTGTCAAGCGGAGCTTATCATATGAGTGATTGTCCGTCGCCCGTGTCAATGTTTTACTTTTTCAACTTCTTCTTGAAAACTACAAGCCTGAATGCTTTGATACTTGGTGTATATGTACATGTACCTTGGCCTCTCTAAGATTTGTTCATTTCGTGATGATTTCTTCAATTCTCTAATTTTGAAGAATATTTTTGTCATTTTAGGTAAAAAGTTAATGATATTTTTGACTTGTTGTTAAAAACCGCAAGTCTGATTGATTTGATATTATAAATAAAGGTACTACAGGTGAACCTCTCAGATTTGATCATTTCATGATGATATCTTCAATTCTTCAATTGAAATTTGCATTACTTACAGCAGAGCTATCTCAGCCAAGCAGCTGCTTGTTCAGATCTAAATGGAAATAGCTGACTGGCAGCCATTTTATTTTAATGCTGTCTCCGTGCCATATCTCTGACATGCCTTAAAACTTTACACATACATCACACATAAGCGCATTGTATCTGTTTCATGCTGAAATTCAAGATGGTCGAATGGCAGCCATTTTAGTTCTAAAAAATTCATCAAAATTAAGCATTTCTACTGTTCCCGAACTAGAACATATTTCATTTATATTTGGTACATACATGATACATGATGAACTTTTGAGACTTACTATTTTTTCATCAGATCAGATTCAACTGTTCCAGAGCAGTATCTCTGATACTGTATGTCTTCACTGATCTCATTCAATACAAGTACACAAACATTTGCAAAAATATACTATATATATAGTTTGTCACATGAGTGTCAGCATAATAGATTATAAAAACATAAATGTCTTGACAATTGACGCTTTTTCAGGGACTTGAACAAATATTGCTGACTGGACATTTTTTTTTTTATTGGTTCCATGACATTTGTGTTGTGATTGATTCAACTGACTGATTTTATGTAAAAACATTGAATCATCATTTTTGGACATGTCCAGAGTGGTTTCTTGGAGATTACCGGGCCAATTTATGTGTATTAACTTGATATACCCAGTACTTTAAATACAGTAAACATTTACATAGACATGCACATCAAGTTGCTTTACTTTCACTTGTGATCTGTTTTTCTTTGCTATGTCTTATGTTGAGCACATAAAGACAATGCTGAAAACATTTGATGAGGATTTTGTCATTTTCAATGAAATGTCACACTATGGTTTTATTTTGTTTTTCACAAAAACTCGCATAAAAACACATGGTTACAAAACTACTTTTCACATAAAAATATAGCTATTATATTAGATTTAACGCAATCATAACTGTGACCTTATCTTTATATTTCTTTCTTCAGAAATGTACGGCATTTGGATTCCAGTGTCAGTAGTTTACACGCTATACAGATTAAAAAGAACTTGTGTCAGCTGGTTAAAACTGTAAGTGTGTCTGCAAATATTAAAATATTCATTTCAAACTTGCAAAGTATTTATTTTTAGTCCCTGTTCTGACATAGTCCAAAAACAAGGACTACTGATTGACCTCTGTGATGTTTGCATACATAGACATGCCTGGACCGATTAAATTCAGACTTCACACATATTACATACATAATATTATACATATGCACATCATTCAATTTGTGCTGAAAAATCATCAAAATCAAGCATTCCGGAACCGGGTCTCGGCCGTTTACCAATGAATTTTGTTCAAACTTGGTACATACATTGGACATCATAGGCCCTTGATGCACGTCATTTTGTTTTTTAGATCGGTTTCAAAATAGCTGACTGGTGGCCATTTTGTTTTAATGAATGCAGTTCCAGGGCCATATCTCTAACATGCTTTGACTAATTATGTTCAAATTTTATATATTCATTGTATATTATGTTATAGATATATAGATGTATTCAAAATAGTCGATTTTGTTTTAATTAATGCTGTTAGTACTCGTTTGACGATCAGATACAAGATGTCAATCATTTTATTGTAAACAAATCATCGTCATATTCCTGACATATATTACTATAAACAAAACTATATATCTCAAATTTGATAACTAACGGGGACTGTGCCATGCATGGCTTGTTAATCTGATTCTTCATTTTTTTCCCTTTTTTATCCCAGATGATGGGTCGAAGAGATGATTTGTGTTTTCGCCAAGAGATGAAATTCCGAAACAAACTAGTTGAGTATTTGACTGACTGGATCCTGGGAACGTCCAATCAGATGTCCGCAGATGATGTAAGGTCAATGACAAGGTACACAATGCCCAATAAGAAATCAGTTGAAATTGAAACATTGAACATTACTATCACATGTTTTCACCCAGAAAACAAAAAAAGTAAAATCACCACCTAACCAAATTAAAACAAAAATTACCACAAATAATTTTTGGGGACTTGGCCTAGCTACTATCAATCAATTTAATTTGTATAATATTCAAAAGAATGAATAATATAACATAGTAATTGGACAATGAATTTGTCTGTAATATGTTGGCAGATAACATATGGTTTATGCTTACATTAGGGAACTAGATCTTGCCAGTATGGAGGCTGTTGTATCGTTGTTAGAAGGGCTACCATTACAACCAGAAGAAGGAGATGGAGGAGATATCATGGAGGAAAAGTCTCAACTTTTTCTCAAGTAAGTTCACCACTTTATTTACTGAAAACTCTGTAGGTTAACCTTCAAAACTGGAACCCCCTAGGTTAACCTTCAAAACTAAAAGCCTTCAGGTTAACCTTCAAAACTAAAAACCTCCTAGGTT